TACCCACCCAAACTTTATTCAAATGAATGGTGGTGATATCATAGAATTAATTAGTGCTCCCCTAAACGTATGGTGATTTTTGTAAGATTATGTGACATTGACTCCAATACAAGTATTAGTCTGAGTATGTGTGTAATATGATTAGATTCATCTCTCTTTCTTTTTTTTTAAGTAAAAAGATTAGATTCTTCTCTCATTCAAAGATATATAGGATTGACTAGTGTAGGAGGGAAAAAATCTATCCACTTGTGTTGATAGAGAAATTAATGGAGAGATGAGTTGTTTTGTTCCGGATTTGCGAAATATCAAATTGTTAGTGCCACTCGAATTGCTGTTGATGTCTAAGTGAGATGAGATTTTTAAGAAAAATATAACCAAGTGTGTTTGGAGGTTTATACATACCTCTTCTTTTAAGTATTATTTTTATTTTTATTGAGACATTCTTTTCTCCTAAACTTGTCTAATTCATAATTAAGTTACGTATTAACCATAGTCAAGTTCACATTATAAAATCTAATATTATTCTTCAATAATACTCGAGACCACTAATTAGAGCTACACTAATGATGTGGTAGTGGGTCTCACCCATTGTCATAGTGTGTGCTATGCTTTTTTTTTTTTTTTTTTTTTTTTTTTTTTTTTTCTATTTTTCATCTCACTAGTGGTGGATTTAGAGCTCATTATTTAAAACTCTAAATCATTATTGTATTATTCTCCGTCACACTAAATGGCTATTCTATATAGCCATTAGGTGAGTCCATTTCACATGATTTATGTTATTTTTGCCTCCACAATTAGGTTTGATGTCTTAGAGAGAGAGAGAGAGAGAGAGAGAGAGAGTGTCCTTGCAAGATAATACATATAGCATATTATGCATGAGGATGAATGTATATATAGATTTCATTTGGTTGTGATTTAAAAGTCACTTCATTGGCAAATTCATTTAAAGAAAATATTAAAAAAAACTTATTTTAATCACTCTCAAAAGAAAAATTAAAAATATACCAAAAGTACATTTTGTTAAAAGTGTCAAGTGCCTATAAATTTAAAAAAAACAGAAAAAATCATATAAGATAGCTGCAGGGCCGGCCTGAGGCAAGGTGCGCGTAGCCTCCAGCTCTCAAATTCTGTCTAAAATATAGGTCCTAAAATAATTTTGATATTAAGTTATAGTTGGTTAATTATTTCGGTCTTAAGTTATGTTTAGTTTGTTGAAATGAAATGAAATGAAATAATCATTTTATCATAATGTTCATCCTCACTTTTGGTTTATTAAAAATATTACAAACAAAATCATCATTTATCATTGTAAGATAATAGTAATTCTATCAAGAAATTAAGAAATGATTATTCTATTTCTTACAATTTTATTTTAGTGAACCAAACACTACATTATAGTATTTGTAGTTTAAAAATGAAATTTTATAGATTTTTTTTTTAAACAATTGAGTTGATGAATTATTTAAAAGTAATTGATAGTTGTTTGCCAATTATATGAATTATTTACATAATATTGTTTGACTATACTAGTTACAATTGTTTCTAGAGAAATAATTTTTTTTTTAAAGTTAAAATAGATTAAAATTTACAATTCAATTTATTACGTAAGGAAAAAATGTGAATAAATTAATAATGGTAGCAATCAACAATGTTAAAAATTTATCTCAATAGTTATGTTTTGCGTGAATCTCAATGACTATAATTTATGTTAACTATAAAAATCATATGAAATTGCTCAAGATATATAATATTATAAAATAAATTATAATTGATTCAGTTACTAAGCTTTCGTTTGGGAAGTGAGTTGACTTTTTGACTTTTTGGCTTTTTTGGCTATTTTAGCCTGGGCTTAAAAGCTTAGTTTGGGAAGGATTTTTTGACTTTTTTGAGTTTTTTTGTGAGAGAAGAATGTAATGATTATGGGTTGGATGTGATGTTTTGTTTGTTATGACTAAAATAGCCTATTTTATTTTTTGTGGCTAAAATAGCCAAAAAAGCCCAAACCATAGCTTCTGAAACGAAGCCTAATATAATAATTTAAAATTGAAATTTTCACTTAATATTTTAAGCGATTTTCATGTAAAAAAGAATAATTTTAATTTTTATATATACAACAAATTTTGTGTGCGTACTAACAAAAATAAATTAAATATTATTATTATTTTACTAATATATATATATATATTTTAAAAATTTTATATAGAAATTGAGTCTCATTTTTTAAGCAAAGGAAAATGAAAACAATGGGTATGTTTGGTTTGTGTTTGAGAGATGTGTTTTAGAGATAAAAAGTACGAAAAGTTGTTTGGTTTGGTTTTTTTCAAAAGATGTTTTGGAAAATTATTTTGAGAGAGAGTTTTGGAAAAAGTGATTGATTTGATGTGTGTGCGAGAGAGATTTGTTTGGAAAACTTGTTTGGTTTACAACTTTTGATAAATTTTTTTAGAAAAATTTGTTTAGTTTGATTACTTTTAAAAACTTATTTATAAAGAAAATTTTTCAAATTTTTTTTAAAAATACAAACCAAACGAACCCTTCATGTCCAGCCTTGCATAGCTGTGAGGGATAGGTGTGGCCCTTTTAGTGCCACTCATTGATGTACATCAATGGCCTTTGGGGGGCTCAGAAGAGCAATGATTCTCTCCTAGCATTTTTTATTTTACTTTTTTCTTGTAATAGTTAAGATTTATTTTAAGAGAATTTAATGGTGTAAATTATTTTTAAAAAATTATTTTTTAATTTTTAATAAAGTAATTTGAACCATTAAATTTTTTTAAAATCAATCTTGACTATTATAAGAAGAAAGTGAAGTAAGGAATGGAAGGAGATCCTTCCTCGGCTCAGAAGCCACATGACGAGAACAAAAAAAGCCATAGTGATAGACAAAAGAATGACTGCCCGCATGGGGGGCTATGATTTAAGGAAAAATTAACGGATGATTGTTAAAAGCAAAATTTAGAATTTTGTTTTAAAAAAAAAAATTAGTGTGGTTTAGATATATTCTAAATGTAAGGGATAGTTTGGAATGATCTAAATATATATATTTTTTTACTTTTTATAAAATATGAGTTGGATATGGATTGGGTTTGAAATGATATGATAGAGAAGTGATGTGATTTAAATAAGATGATGTGATTTAAATAGGATAGTAACTTTTTGACTTTTTTAAGTTATGACAAACAAAGCCTAAGTTTACGATCAGATTAAAGGAGTCATCCTGTTTTAGTATATTTTTTTTTTTGGTCTATAAAATTTTTTTTTTTTTCAAATTTGTCAAAAAAATTTTGTTTTCCAAGTGCATTAGGATTTAAAAAGTAAAAAACTTTAAAAAAGAAAAAGAAAAGCCAACTTTTTTAACAAAACTATTTCTGGTCCATCAGTTAAGTAACACCTAAAAATTTATAATTTTAAAAAAAAAATCACTAAAAAAATAAAAATAAAAATAAATCAATGATAGACACATTCTGTCATGCCAAAGTTAAATCTAAACAGACTGTTTTTTCTGAATAAAATTGTCTAATTTTTTTTTTTGGGGGGGATTTTCTAAAATTACTTACATTACAGATAGACTGTGAATGCATAATTGATCCTACATTAGTATTAAATTCATGATTAAAATCTCATGGTCCGTGCAGGCCTGGAATTAACAAGGAGACCCACCATTTAAGTGATATGCAGATTTTAACGAGGGGTGGTGAGTTAAATACAACCATCTACCAAAGGGCCCATAGCTAGTATACATACATATATATATATATATATATATCACTCCACAGCAATAAATAATATATTAGCTTTACAGCACATATATGTAGTACATGTCACACATTTGTGCACCAAACTCTCGACCTCTTTAAGTCCTTTTTGCCAGAAGCATGGCCTCCAGTCTAGTCTCCCCAACAAGAGCCCAACACTTACTTTAGCCACAATGGACAGTTAAGAGTGAAAGTTTCTTCCTAATTTATCACAATTTTTTTTTTTTAATAATTATTTTATATCACCGGAGTATATAACAAGCTAGTATTATTTATTTTCAAAATTTTCAAACAAGAAATCAATCATGAAAATCATAGCATTCCTCACACGCAATAGCATGGTCATTGCACCTGTTACTATGATCCCTCTGTGAAACCACCGTGTTTTATTTAGGCTTAATTGGTTAAAAGTCTATTCGTACGGGACCATATGTTATTTAGTCTAGGTTTAATTTTTAATTTTATTATTATTATTATTATTATTTAGTGATGAGAACAGGCGTCGAAAAGTAGTTGGCAGTTAGCAGCGATTATGGGTGGTGGTGAGGTGGATAGATAGATGAAATTGAACAGATTACACATGTATACTGTTGCATTTGAATAGATAGTTGAATAGATAAATGACATATGTACAGATGGGTGACGTTTAAACAGATAGACATATAAATAAACTTTAAATAGATATGTATCCTTTCGAACAAGTAATGTCTTTTAGCCAAAAAAAAGATTTATGGTTACCTACTAGCCCAACAGTTTCACAAATATACTTCTGGCCTGTGTCCTATTTATTTCAAAAAATGAAAAAAAAAAAGAAAAAAAAAAGCAGCGAAAAAGAAAAAGAAAAAGAAAAAAATACTAATCCATCCTCCCTTGGATGTTTGGTGTTTTTTACAGTTTATGTTGGGGAAAATTAAGATATGAAAGTAAATTTTGATAATTCATATTAATAGCCAACAATCCAGGTTAATTCTATGCATAAAGTGATATCTTAAGTAGAATCAAATGGCAGACCTTGTGCCTTTTGAGCTAATAATTATAATTTAAATTTTAGGAAACCACATTTCAACTTCACCATACATGATCCAAGATGTCAAATTTTGAAGACGTATGTACAATATAACAAACTACGTCTATAACCTCCCAGAAACCCTCACCAGGGACACCTCCACGTGGTAGCTAGATCGGACTTACTAGATAACTTCTCCACACGAAGAAGAAGAAATAAATCAAATATATAATAAATACTGGATAAATGAGACCATAACACAGCCTATCAAAGGCTTCTCAATTCAGAATATGTGCATGATGCCACAAAGCAAACCAACCAACTCCTCTGAATCACCGTCTAATATTAGCCGTTCCCTCTGACGGGGTTCAATGTGATACAAAATTTTCCATTCCTTTGTTTAGACTTCTATATGGTCCGTCTTCAAGTGATCTAATTAATACAAAAATGCTATCTTTTGGGGGTTTTCAAGAGAGCAAGTACCTCGACATCGTCATTGCTTGTTTCGGCGACAAGCTGAATTGGGGTTTTACCTTCTTTGTCAAGAGCGTGTGGATCAGCTCCCCTGTGCCACATTGGTAATTAACCAGAGTAAGACATTAACGAAATGTAACAAGATAAATCATAGAGTAATCAAAGATGACTTCAGAAACTAGAGGATGATTACTAAGATAACTACCTCTGAATAAATAAATACCCAACAACTCCCGTGCTTATGGAAATCTGCAAGTGGTCTAATATGTAACAATGTTTAATGAAAGAAAAAAAGTACACCCAGTTTAATTGGATGGGGGTATGGGAGGAATAAATTGGGTACATACCTAAATTTTGGCACAAGTAAAAGAAGAATTTTAGGGGGAAAATATGCAAAATACTGAATGTCAAAAACATATTATCTCCAGACAGCTTATGAAGCATACGTTCCGAAAATATTGTGTTATGACTACCGAGTACTTACCCAGTATGGGTACACATATTGATACGGCTCAACGCTTACCAGTGCATAAAATATGTATCCAGTATGCGAAATACCTTTGGCATGGGACAGGTACATCATGGGTATGGCTACGTTTCAGGTAGATGGGTATGTTTTAGGTAATTTTGTGAATATTTTGGGGGCATACATGTGATTTTTTTAAAAAATATATTGGTACTAGAAAAATTATATTGTCTACTTTTAAAAACTTTACGAAAATATGGTATTTTTGCAGTTATCAAAAACATAAAAAATACTTAGGATTCTTTTTTGACCATTACAAAATACTATTCAGTGTGTTTGGTTTCAATTTTCTAGAAATTGTGTTTTTTATTTTTTGTGTTTTTTTTTAAAAATTTTATTTTTAGTGAATATTTTTAAAATTTTAAGTAATTTTTTTACTTTTTTATATGCACCTTACTTAGATATATTTAAAAAATAAAATATTTGTAAACAAATATTTTAAAAAATCAATAAATACACAAAAATACGAAAAATGTACTAAATTCTCATATATATATATATATATATTTTTTTTTTGGTATTTAGTGAGTTTTTTAAAGATTTTTTTTCACAAATATTATACTTTTTAAGTGTATTTATGTTAGGTGTATCTAAAAATTAAAAAAAATTTCTTAGAATATTAAAAGAATTCAGTTAAAATAAAATAAAAAAATACGGAAAATAAAAAATTTCAATTTTCTGAAAAGTGAATCCTAAAAATCCAAACCAAACAAGCTGATTCTATTATTATTTGCATTTGACTTTTTAATTGTCATGTCATGTACAAATAATATATTTTCTTATGGATGTACCAAACAAAACCCATATCCTAATTTTTTGAAGTTTTGCCATGTTGGGGTGTACCCATAACATTTCCGCACCTGCGACCATGCTTCCCAGCCAGATGGAATCACAACCAGAAAAAGAATGCAAAACAAACAAGAAAGGAAAAGGTAGTGAAGTTAAAGATGAAGGTAAAGAATCACCTGGTAAGGAGAAGTTTTGCAATTCCAATTCTTCCTCTGATAATACTATGATGCAGTGGCGTCTGACCTCTCGAATCAGAAGTATTTATGTCTGCACCATGCTGTAGGAGCAACTCTACCATGCCAATATCAGCAGTTTGGCAGGCAAGGTGAAGCAAGGAGCAGCCATCAAGAAATCCATCTTTGGACTGATCTTCACTTGCTTTAGTTGAACTAAAAGAGCTCGAGGAGCCATCCAAAGACTGAGCTAAGTAGTCCAAGTAGCAATCGGAACTTTGTTGTTCCTTATCTTGCAATTGCACTCCTTTGGACAAATTTAAAGGTTGGATAGCATTAACATCTACTTCACAAGCGACAATAAGGCGGTAAACTGATTTCTTGTCATTAGAACTGACACTTTCCCACAACTGTTGTGCCTCTGAAAGAAGATGTGGAATGTACTTTCCTTTGTGAACAAAACGTTTTTCTGCATACTGCAGTAAGATGAAAATACACATCACTTGTGGTTTCCATGAATCAAAACCTATAATCAGACAAGAAATTTACCTCTATAAAGTAACAAAAACGCTCAAAATAAGGCTGCATAAATAAACTCGATGCATGTACATATATGTTAACACATAAATGTGGATATTACACGTGTATATATGTAAATTGATAAATGTATGTAACTGTGTATGCATAAATATGGATGTATGCATTTTGATATTTGTTTGACTGACCAAAATTTCATAATTATTAAAGGAGAGTAAATTCTACCCACCCGAAATGCAATATTGCCCATTTGAAAAAGACCGGATTCTTCTATCATGCTAGACAAGGTGGTTAGGTTCTGTTAATAATTGGCCACAAATCACAATTCTAGCTCCTTGGACCCTGCCAACAACCCACTTCCTATGTAACTTAAGCCAAAGCAACTCAAAGGCCATAGTCCTCAATGCAGTTGCCTGTTTGGTAAAGACCCGGACTCTTCTATCACGCTAGACAGGATGGTAAGTCGTATTGAAGCTGGCCATATATCAAAATTCTAGCTCCTTGGACATTGCCTTGAACCCCACTGCATATGTGGACTTGAAACAAAACAACTCAACACTCCATAAACTGTCCAACAGTGTTCTTCCACTACCATGACAACTAAACCTTTGATGCCAAATTTTTCTGGCTTCTTCATGTGATTCAATTGCCTGTAAACATGGCATAATAGGCTAGAGGAGGGATGCTAATTTGTAACTGAAGCCCCATGATAGCATCAATGATAGGCTCCAATCTTGAAACGATTCTCTCCGTAAAAGAGTTTCATACATTAATTATAATGATTTCTAGGTAACTCCGAACATAGTGGCAGCCTCTAATTTGAGTGGTCATCAAGTGGTGCATAAATTCCCGAATAACACCCACAAAGAAAGTGAGAGATAAATAAATCAAGCACAAGGCATTTACAGATGCTTTTGTTCAATTAGAGAATCAACTGCTTAGTTCCAAGCTAACGTCTCTTCAAAAGATCCCTCATACATGAATTGCCTGGATAACACTTGAATTACACTGGCTCCATAGCAGTATTTTTGTACAAGTCATAGTATTCCAACTTAAGAAGGTAAAGACAAAAGAAGCCAGTTCAGCAAATATTAGCATAAAAGAAGAAAGGTTGAAAGGAAATAGCAAAAAGGAAAAAATAATTATTTGAAGCAATACCTTTGCATGAATGAATTTCTCCTTCATTGAAATATGATCATCATGACGGGGTTTGCTAAAAAACTGTTTGTGCTTATCATGGTCAAAAAACCTACATGACAAGTGTAAAACATTTTTTGGTATTGAATTTAAAAAATTAATCATATTAAGTCATGCAATTCTTACTTCATAGGTATTTCATCAGCCTGAAAAGTTCTTTGTGCATGTAACAACCCCTCCCATATTGAGTTTACAAAGACATTACCCAGTGCCTGAAACAATTTGATGACAGACGGTTCCCACACTTTCACATCAAGTGCCAACGACCTTACCTGCATTGACAGTTAAACAAAATAGGCTGCATAAATGGGTAGGAAATGGAAGTACAAGCCATACCAACATATAAAATATCATTTGACACGAAAGGTAAACTAGAATCGAACTTTTCAAGATACCCTGCCATGATTAAGTTTAGGTCAAGAATGCCAAATAAGGATTATCCAATATTTCAAAATTGTAACTGCAAGCTATTTAACATGATGTGACATGAAAGAGAACAGTGGTAGTGTCAAGTATTAGTGTGTAAAGGTAGTTATGTCATTTGGTCCTTAGTCTTTTATTATAAATATGTGTAACCCTAATATGTTTAAGTGTAAGATAATAAACACAGCAGTTCTCTCTCTCTCTTTTCTTCTTTTCATTATTTTCCTTCTTTTCATTATTTTCTTTCTTTTATGCAAATCTAACATGATATCAGAGCTTCATCTTCCTCCTTGAAGATTCTTCTCTTGTTCCTTGTTTCATTCGTTTCTCCCTGTACATAGAAGAAAAAAAAAAAAAAATCCTCTATGGTCGAAATTTGATGAGTTTTCACCCTAGATTTTTATTTTAATTTTTTGATGAGTGTTTGATTGTTTTTCCAATTTTTGTTGATTTTATGGTAAAACTGATTGATTTTTCAGAAGTCCTTGCTGGAGCTGGTTTTTGGCTGACTTTTTCCTTTCTCCCTTTACCTTGGGAGCCGACTGGGATTGTACTAAGGTTGGGAGACCTGGTTTTGATGATTTGGCAAGATTTCACTCTGTTTTTGTCGGTTTTCCTTAGTTTCAGCATAGTTTCTTTTAGTTTCTAATTGTTTTTGGCCTCTCCAGCCCATGTTTCGGCTCTATTTTCGTTTCTAAAGGTAACTTTTGTCCCTAAGTTGAGTTTGTGGATTTGCCTCTATATGTTTTTGCTGGTATTGGGTTGGTATTTGTTTTTTCTATTGTTAGGATTTAATCTTCAATGGCTGAGGGTGAGACTAAGGATACAATTAGTGATGATGGTAGGCTGCGTCGTGTTATTGCTCTGAACGACAGTCCCTCTCTTCAAATTAGTTCCGTTAAATTGGATGGTTCCAACTATTTGATTTGGTCACGCTCTTGTAGTCTCGCTATTGCTGCTCGCCGTTTGACTGGCTACATTATTGGTTCTCTTCCCCTCCCGGATGGTGATGACTCACTACATACTCAATGTATTTCTGAGAATGCTCTTATTATGACTTGGCTAATCAACTCTATGTGGCTCACCATTAGTTGGAGTTTCCTCTTATTAGATACTGCTCATAAGATTTGGACAGCTGCAGCCCAGATGTACTCCCAACAGGGTAATGATGCACAGGCGTCTGAGTTGAGGAAGAAGCTTCGGAGCTTAGATCAGAAGGATAGATCACTCGCAGTATACTATGCTGAGTTGAGTAGTTTGTGGCAGGAACTAGACTATTACCAAAGCTTCCAAGCTATTTGTTCTCAGGATGCCACTTTGTTTCAGCAAACCGTGGAGAAGGAGTGTGTATGGCTTTCTTGTTGGCTTGAACTTGGAGTATGATCAGATTCACGTCCAGGTGTTGGGTTGTTCCCCTTTTCCCACCCTCCGAGAGGCTTATGCCCTTGTCCAGCAAGAGGAGAGTCGACGTAGTGCTATGGTTCATTCCTCTATTCAGGATCATTCTGCTTTGGTTGTTGCTCCTTCTACTCGAGCTACTTGGCCTAGTCCAGTTTAGTCTGGTACTTAGGGTACACTGGTTGATTGAGATCGATTAAAGTGTGATTATAATGGGAAAGACAGACATGATTGAGAACATTGTTGGAAACTGAATGGTAGCCCTACTCAGGGTTAGGGTCGTGGTAGTACAGCTCGTCCCCAAGCACATGTGTCTAAGATTGCTGCAAGTCCTTCTTCTAAGCCTAACACTCACTTTCCCATGATGAGTTGCACACTTAGACGTTTGATGGCTCGGCTTGATTCTCCTTCTACCATAGCTTCTTTCCCTCCAACTTTTTCCAATTTTGCCCACACAAGTACTCTTGCTAGTGCTCTTAGTACATCCTCATCGCCTTCTTGGATTATTGATTCAGGTGCCAGGGACCACATGACAAGGCGCCTCTAGTCTTTTCTATTCTTATTCTCCTTGTTCCGGCCGAGACAAGGTTCGAGTGGCTGATGGCATTCTATCCTCTGTCTTTGGCAAGGGTTCAATTCATTGTTCATCTTTACTTTCTCTTTCATTTGTGCTTAATGTTCCTAATTTTTTCACTAACCTGCTTTCTGTTAGTAGTCTTAATACTTCTCTAAATTGCTCAATGACCTTTTTTCCTACTCATTGTGTCTTTCAAGAACTGGCTACGGGGAAAACGATTAGCAATGGTAGAGCACAAGGTGGACTGTACTTTCTGGATGTCGTTCCTCTTGCTGTCCCATCTTAGGCTCTCAAGTGCACTATTGGCTCTCATCTTCATCTCCTTCATCAGTGGCATTACCGTTTGGGTCATCCTTCCTTTAGTGTTTTAAAAAAACTTTTTCCTTTTTAGTTCATGATTGTCCTAGGTGTATTTTTGGTTGTGATGCTTGTGAACTTGCAAAGCATGAACGTACTTGCTACCCTTCAATTAATAAAAGAAGTACTTTTCCTTTTATGCTTATTCATACTGATGTGCGGAGCCCTTTCCCTATGGTTTCTACTTCTAGGTATAAATGGTTTGTTACATTTATCGATTGTTATTCCCGTGTGACTTGGATTTACTTGCTTCGAACTAAGAGTAAAGTTTTTTCTTGTTTTCAAACTTTTCATAAAATAGTGACCAATCTTTTTAATGCTCAAATCAAAATTCTTCGAAGTAATAATGGGACTGAGTATGTTGATGGAGTTTTTCGAGCATACCTAGAGGAGCATGGCATCCTTTATCAGACTAGTTATGTTGGTACTCCTCAGCAAAATGGAGTTGCCAAAAGCAAGAATGGCCATCTTCTTGAAGTTGCTCGCTCACTCTTGTTTACCATGAATGTCCCTAAGTCTTTTTGGGGTGATGCTCTTCTTACCGCTACTTACCTTATTAACCATATGCCTTCCAGTGTCCTCCAATTCCAGATTTCTCTTCAACTACTTCCTGTAGCATATCCCACCTCTTCTATTCCTCCTCGAGTGTTTGGGTATGTCTGTTTTGTTCATTTGAAAACTCGTACTCGCGGGAAACTTGATCCTAAGGCTGTGTGTTGTGTCTTTATTGGTTATTCTACTACTTAGAAGGGTTACAAATGCTATGATTCTCACACTCGCAAAGTGTATGTTAGTATGGATGTCACTTTCCGTGAATCTGAGGCCTTCTTTCCTTCTTCTTTGCCATCTCCTCCGGGGGAGAGTAGTGTTATGGTTAAGATTGTGGATGAGGAGATGGTCTATCAACACGAGTTATCTTTTTTCTTTCCTAGTTAGCGGACTGTTATTTGTGATAAGGAGGAGCCTAATAGTTCTCTTGATGTGGAGCCTGACATTGGTGGTCGTTTGGATAGGGTTGATCTTAAGACTTATTCTCAGCATCCGAAAGAACAAGTTTCCCTTGTGCCACCAAATCCATCATCATCCCTCATGCCAGTTCCAGGTAATGCACCTCAGTTTATTCCGCTATCTGTAGTTGATAGTCCTGTTGTCAATGATTTGAGTCTTCCTATTGCTCTTAGAAAGGGGGTTAGGGCTTGTATTCAACATCTCATTTCTAAATTTGTGTCATATGATTCATTGTCTTCTACATATCGTGCTTTTGTTTCGTCTTTGTCTTCTGCGTGTATTCCCCAAGGTTGGAAGGAAGCTATCAATGATCCTAAGTGGAAAGTAGCCATGGTAGAAGAGATGCAAGCTCCAAAAAAGAGTAACACTTAGGAGTTGGTTCCTCTTCTTAGTGGAAAAAAGCCTGTAGGGTGTAAGTTGGTGTTCACCATTACGCAGAAAGCAGACGGAATAATTGAATGGTACAAAGCACAACTAGTGGCCAAGGGATTTACTCAGATATATGGAATTGATTACCAAGAAACCTTTGCTTCTGTAGCAAAGATAAATTCCATTCAAGCTATTCTCTCATGTGTAACTAATTTAGGATGGCCTTTACAACAGTTAGATGTGAAGAATGCATTTCTCCATAATGATTTGGAGGAAGAGGTATATATGGATGTACCACCAGGATTCTCATCTCAATCTACAGTTGGGAAAGTTTGTAGGTTGAAAAAGGCGTTGTATGGTTTGAAACAGTCTCCTCGAGCTTGGTTTGACAGATTCCTGAAGGCTACGTTGAGATTTGGGTATAAGTAAAGCAATACAGATCACACAATGTTTGTCAAACGCCATGCAGATAAGGTAACTGTGCTTATAGTATATGTGGATGACATAGTTGTGACAGGTAATGATGAGAAAGAAATGACACATCTTACAATGCTGTTGTCTAAGGAATTTGAGATCAAAGACCTTGGTTCGTTGAGATACTTTCTTGGGACTGAAGTTGCCAGATCTAACAAAAGCATCTTTATTTCTCAGCGGAAGTATATCCTAGATCTTCTTAAGGAAACTGGCATATTAGACTGCTGACCTGTTGATTCGCCAATTGAGGCTAATCACCATCTTTGTAGCAGTGTTGGTGATCTTGTGGAGAAGGAAAGGTACCAAAGACTTGTGGAAAGGCTTATATATTTGTCCCACACTAGTCCAGATATTGCCTATACGGTTGGGATAGTGAGTCAATTTATCGTGTACTTTATTTGGATGCAGTGTATCGCATTTTGAGGTATCTTAAATCTGCTCCTAGAAAAAAGGATTTTATTTTCCAATCATGATTAGTTGAAGTTGGAGGCGTTCACAGATGCTGATTGGGCTGGTTCTATGGATGACAAGCGATCTACCTCCGGTTACTGTGCATTTGTGAGGAGCAATTTAGTCACATGGCGTGGTAAGAAACAACAGTGGTGTCCAGATCTAGTGCATAGGCAGAATACAGGGCTATGGCGCATGGTACATGTGAACTGATGT